GCCAGGCAGATGCCTGCAGAGACTGCCAAAGCTGCAGCTAGGGAGTAGAGGGGATGGGCCAGCCCTGCTGTAGAGCCAAGAGCCCTGCCCAGCCCAGAGAGCATGCTATGATGCTGGGGGGTCTGATTTAATTTAAACCAGCAAGGGGTTTGGGACAGACGTTGCATAAACCAGTTTGAGCCAAAACAGTTAAGCCTGATACTACATTCATCCAGGTTTATCTCAAACCTGTTTCAGCCATTCTCAAACTGGTTTATGTGCACTGACCATCTGTTCTGTTACAGGTTTAAACCAGTTTCTGATCACTTAAACCAGCTGATGTGTAATGTCTGTCCTAGCCAATGTGAAGTAGCAAAGGCACATTAATAAATATATAGATGTGCCCAATATGAGGGAATGGCACCTACCCAACATTTCTGCAGGGATTGTTCCTTTGTGCAAAACATATGCACATAGAGTAACAAAAGTGTGAATCACTGCATTTGGTATACGTGGCCATGTGGGAAATCTGTTATTTCTCAGGCATTGATTTTCTGTTCTTTCTGGGGGCCATCAAAGCTTGCCACCTCTTGAAATAGTGAAAGGAGAGAGAAACTCCCACAAGAAATGCTATGCCATCAAACTCAGGGCACAGGCACAATTTCCTTCTGGAATATGCCCCTTTGGGTATATTACCTGGCCAACGAGCTAACCCTATGTGTGGGATTTTCAACATTTAAGAAAAAAAATATAACTCCAGTGAGCAAGTACAGTAAGAAGCCCATCTTTCCAAGGACCTGATGTAGTCTCAACTGAGCTTTGTCACTTGGTAAGTGCCTGCCTGTTAACAGCATGCACCACAGAACATTTAACATAATTCACATTTTCTTTGGTGGCAATAAAGCTATTCTACTTCTACTAGTCCTCATTACCCACAGGATGGATGTATAAGGGCTAAAAAATAAAAAAGAAAAAGAAAAAGAAAAAAAAGACAACAGCACCCTCTGTCAGCTAAATATGGTAATTTACCTTTTTTAACCTCAGGCAAGCAAGTAAAATATACTGCTTAGCAGAAATGACACTCTTTTGAATACTTTCTACTTGCTCAAACACAAACAAATTGGCATTGAAGAAGGAAACTAATGAATGATATTTGTGCTTCTGTTTACTTATTTTCTATGCTGATGCAATACAATGTTAATGGGTTGAGTGCTCATTAAAGATTATGACTAATTTTTAATTATCATTCATTTTTATTTTCGCTTTTCCTTCCAATTTCAAAAGCCAATGGCTTACTTCCAAGAGTATTTTTTCTCACTTATCAGATATTGTACTCAAGCACTACAAAGCCCTTTTACCAGCGACTATATATTAAGCCTATCATTTATCATACTACTATTTATATGTTAGTAGCACTGGGCTCCCACTCTGTGAGTTCCCATTCTGAAGAAAGCTTTTGGCCAAGTGAGTTTTCAAGGTTAAAGAAATTGTCCAAGTTCAGGCAGTGTGTTTTGGCCAAAGTTAGGAATAAATACCAGGAATTTGGCTTTGCTCTAATCATATACAGTGCCCCTTATTCCTCCTTGCATCACAACATATGTACTCCTCTGAAAGTATGTGCCAGTAATGTTCTGCCCCCATGAGATGCCATACGGTTTTAGTCTGTTACATTGGGTGAATACAGTTTAATGGCAAAACACACCTTGTGAAGGCTTTTTCAAACTTTGTTTCACTGGGAGATATCTCCTGGTGTCGAGAGGAAGCATCTATATATCAGCTTACCTTGGAACCTGGATACTTGTTTAAGCACTGTTACTCAAAACTGGAAAAAGTGAGCAGGCTCTGTCACTCACTACTAAACAGGGTCAGATTTGAATGATTAAGAAATCATTCACCTGATGGATCTAGGTCTATTCAGTTCCCTGGGGGAGAGTGGTGGGGGAAATGGATAGTCTCAGGCTGTAGGATTTAAACTGCACCAGTGAACAGTGTGAATCAGCAGAGTTTCCATGATAGTCATTCTTTATCCCTCTGCTGGGGAAGAAATTTCATGTGATTACTGCCTTATTTTCTGGGCCATAATTCCAAATCCAGACAGGCTCACTCTGCTTTCAACAGACAGGGACTCACTAACTTCTGAGATCCTAAAATGAGGCAGCTGTTTGCTAATCTTCCTACTGTCTTGAGTTGGCAGTGGGTAAGAATCACAGAGACCCATAATGAGATGAGCTATCTGTAGGAGAAAGGTAATAGCCCTCCGTTCCCTTCTCCAGGGGAAAATTACCAGGTCCATCAATGACAGTAGCACCGGGGTGCGGCACATTCAATCACTCTCTACCTAGTTAAAAGTGTCTGATGAAAGGTGTCATTAAGGATAATGTGATGAATGGCTGTATTTAACTAAATGCCCTCATGCAGCCTGTGATACAATCAGAGAGCTTTGCCCTGGAAGCCTGAGGTTGGATCATAAAAGTTCTGCTACTGCTTGGGCAACTTGTATTTCACTCCAAGCTCTGAACTTCGCTGCTTCCAGAATCCCGTATCTGTTCCTATTGGCAGAACCTTGCTGCACAGTTTATTTTAAAACATAAGATGCACAGGAAGAGAACTGTGTTGCCATCGATCATCCTAAGGAAGCTGTCTTGGTTTAAGGGAGAAGGGGTGCTTAGCCAGGCCAGCTGTAACACTCCGCAAAGGTACCACTCTGGGTGTTGTATTGCTCACAATTAGAGCTGCTCCTCACCCAAGGCAGCTGCTCAAAAAACCTTCCGTTTCAAAATTTTCCAGCAAAAAAGGCAGAATTTATCATGAAAATTTTCCATTAAAAAAATAATATTTTTCAACTCCCACCCAAATGACCTTGAGTAGTATCACAAAAGACAAAGTGTTCATTTCTCTCAAGCTCTGTTTCTCAGGCCTCCTTCATATTTTGGGTTCCTCCACATCAACCCAGAAGAACCCTGCACTCCCTCGACGGGCTCATCTGCTGAGCATTGTCTCACCCTTATTGCTAGCCACGGGTTTTTACCTGATTGCTGTCGTACAAGAAGCCCTTCTTCAACTGCAGCAGCACCAGCCTGGCCAGGATGGGGGAACTCTGAGGGTTCCTAGAGAGAGCTACTAAGAGGATTTTGTGAGCTTCTTCCACCCGATCCATCTGGTACAGGGTGTCGGCACACAGGATCTGGGACGCCTCATCACAGGAGTCTAGGTCTACCAGGAGAGATGCCAGCTGGTGCACTCCGGAGGCATCCCTGAATAAGCAGAGAACACCCTTAGAGCATCAACCACTAATCATTCCAATCAAGCTGATCTATCCCTCAATCCAGGTAGCATGAAATAAGTGCCAAAGTTCAGCAACCCTGGATGACCTGGCATGCATGCACTTAGGTCACATCCAAAGTATGCCATTTAAAACCTGGTCGCAAACAATCTACAGGGGACAACAGGGGAATCAATGAGAAAAAAAAAGGTCTCCAAAGGGTATCTGATCCAGCAACCCACCATAACACAAAAGATAAATGATGACAGTGATAACAGGATCCATGAGGAATAATGGACTGCGTCAACCAAGGAATTCTGCAATAAAAATTACAATAGTAGATGGTCATGTCCAGGCTAATAACTGCATTAGACAAGCTCTTGCCTGATCAGTACTAGTGTGGGACTTGGGAGACAAGGGGTGTTTATATGTGTGCTCTGGCGGGGGGGAGAGGGGGAAGCACTTTAATTCAAGTGGATCTGAGAGCTGGTTGAATTAAAGCACCCAGAGCGTCACATGTATCACTGTCCTCACACTGAAAAATGGCAGTGGGGGCACTTTAACTAAAGCTCATCCAACAAACTTTAGTTAAAGTGCCCCCTCTGCCACTTTTCAGCGCAGGGATACTGATACACATGATGCTGGAGTCTGCTGGAGCATGGTAATTATCACGCTCCAGAAGATTTAATTAAACAAGTCTGCTCAACACTGTAATTACAGTGCGTCGGAGCAGCCTCTCTGCACATGTATAGGTGCCCCAGGGGTTTGATCCCCAGCCCTGCCACTGATCTGCTGGGTGACTTTGAGCAATTCTCTTCTCCCTTTGTCTCCATTACCCCACATGTAAAATGGAAGTAAAGTACTAACTGCCTTTAGACAGCATCTTGAAGTCCATTGGTGAAAAATACTAGATTATTATTAAGACGGTCATAAACTGATGCATTAGACCAGATTATGCCGGCAGCTAACTGACATAGCTATTTGGGCTAAAGCCTAGTATAGACCTGGCCCTAGACCTGAGAGGGGCTGTATCCTGTTCCCAGCCGCCCCCATATTAGACATACCCTTCTTTGGTCTGGAAGCCATTCAGCTGGGCTCCTTTCTTCTGTGCATGGGCTGAGCTGTTTGTTGGGTGATGCTTCTTCTGAAGCATCTTCTGTCCTTCTTCCTGGAGGACCTTCACAAGCAGGCCTCTTTGGTTCCAGGGCACGTAGGACTTGATAGTCACGATGGTTTCCTCCAGTCTCAGCCGACAGGCAGTGATGTAATCCAGGGCTGTCAGGTAAGGGCTGCCACCACAGACCCGGATGAGTCCCCGGCCACACAGGGCTTTCACACAGCTGTTAGGGTGTGGGGAATCATGCTCTATGACTTCTTGGAAGTCCCGAAGGGCTTGCTTAGGATGGTTAGCGTGGAGGTGACAAAATCCCCGCACCACAAGGAGGGTGTTGTAATATGTCTTCTGCTCCGCTTCCAGGAGGGAATTACAGATGTCTAGGGCTTTCTTGACATGCCCGCACAGCAGCTGGCAATCTGCCAGCCGGGCGCTCAGTTCTCGCTTGGCCCCTGGGGAAATCTGGATGAGGAACTGGAGGGTGCAGATAACCGAGGAGAGCAGTTCTGTGCTGGTGTCGCATCGGAGCTCAGCCCGCGTGCGCACAGCTTCCCGGTAGGCTGCAAACTCCCCCTCCAGGGCAGCCCTAGCCTGCTCTTCGATCACATCGGCATCCTGAGGTGTGAACAGCTCATCAAAGCGCCTCTTGGCCTGCTCAGGGGTGACCATGAAAGCTTCTGTCAAGTCCTTCATCATTTCCTGTGTCCGCCCATCCGCGGAGAAGTAAGCAGCAGCTCGCTCCAGCAGCAGACCCATAGCTCTCTTGTCCCAGAGCTGGCTGCCAGCAGACAACGCCTCCAGGGCCTTGCTGTAAATGGCCACACACTCCTCAAACTTGCGTTGCTCAAAGAGGTATGCTGCCTGGGCTCTGCATACCCAGATGTCATCAGGCGCTACGGTAGCCAGGAACTCATAGCAGTCATCCCGCCATTTGTCCAGGATCCGGCTCCCTGGGCCCTTCTCCCGGTGCACTGAGAGGTAACTGGAGAAGGCCTGGATTACCTGTGGCAGGTGCTCCTTTTGCCTGCTGTGCATATAGGCCACTGTCTCAGCCTGGTGGTTCACAAAGGCTTGGATATAGTCCACAACACCATTCCCAGACTGAGTCCCTGATAGCACCCAGGCCAAAGCCCTAGTCAGCAGCAGCTCCACTGAATGTCTGGGGTGGGTTTTGAGCAGGGCATTACACTGGCTCACTACATCCTCATACTGCTGTTGCCCCAGCATGGCCTCCATCTTGCATAGGGAGGCAGCTATGTTGCTGGGGTCTAGGGTGGACAGAAAAACAGCAGCAACCCCCACATTGAGGGACACAATGGCCAAGTTGTCGCACTGTATCTTGGGAATCTGACTCTCTCCTGTGCACCACATCTCAAGGGTGGCTATCACTTTCTCCCACAGCCCCTTGCCCAGGGACTTCACCTTCTGCACCGCAAAGGATGCACTACAGCTGAATGCAGCCATGTAGAAAGCCGTGGCTAGAGACATCTCCTCCCTGACCAGGTGCTTGTCCCCTTCTTTGCAGAGCTTTGTAGCAATCTCTTGAGCTGACATCTTGATTTGGGGTACTTACATTGTCAGCAATTGGCTTTTCACACACTGCCCTCTTGAGTGCCTGTAAAAGAGAGATCAAAGATATTAAGACGAAGTAGGTTGCCACAGTTTGTGGCTTTATATTGTCTGTCAAATAAACAGTTATGAAAAAAAAAAGCAAGTGAGGACTTAAGAGGTTTTGAATGTCATTATAACCTCCAAACAGCAAAGTTTTGGTGAGTTAAAAACAAAGACAAAGGAGAACAATGCCAAGTGCTGGAGGGGCTGGAAAAGTGGCTCATCCTTGTCACATCTACATTACAGCTGGTTAGAAAATAGGGAAAGGTCACAAAAATGTTGCTGACATTTTCCCCCTCCCCTTTCTATTGTTAATTTTTTTTTAAATGGCCTTCTAAAACTGTAGCACAGGATTATCTCCAGTCTGCAAACCTAAAATGTGTTTGTTTTGTTAACTGAGTTTTACTCAGAGATCAGGCTAGGAGTAAAATATTTCTCTCTCTTTTGCACCCTTTTGGAACCACATTAATAATCCTTCTTCTGGCTGCTATTGTGCTATGATTCAATATAGGTAGCTACCAGTGGTAGCTGTAGAGTTGTCTTGTTTATCAGTTTACTCAGGCTGTAGGTGAACAGTATGACAGCTTGAAGCCTGCCCTCATTCCATGAGAAATTATAGTAATTAACTGACCTTGACCTACTGTGTGTGTCCTAAGCAAAAATGTTTAAAACTTGAAGAAGCTGAAAAAACCTTGCCAGAAAGAAAAAAAGGAGCTTTGTCCAATGCAATGCCTACATGGCAAACAGCAAGAATGAGAGAGCAGCAAAGCTGGCATGCTGGATGGAAACCCAGCTCTGATGTGGTAGTTTGTAGGGCTGCACTGTGTGCATGCTTCAGCAGGCTTGCCCTGATGGTTTCTCAAAGAGGTGTATGAAGGCTTGACTTTGTCTTCCCTTTCCTAATCAAATCCCTGCAACAGCATGTTCCACTTTTCTTCAAACAGCTGTCATGCATCTCCTCCCCAGCACTCATGTATCAGTCAGCCATGCTGAATCTCAAGAGCATGTGTGATCATAAAAGGGACATCAAGGCCTGTGTGTGCATTTAGCAGCAGAAGAATACTGTTGCTCTGTGTAGGTGTGGGATGCAGCCCAGCTTGGAGCTAATCACCTATGAATAGCATCAATGGGGTTAGGATGTATTGTAGGAGCTGTCATAGTGAATGGGCTCTGAATGCTGCCCCCACCCTCCCCCAGCAGAAATTGGGATGCTGTTTGCCAGGCTGGATGGGAAGTGACTCTCATGAGGTCTTTTTGCTTGGTCAGGGTCCTATTGCCATGCCCACAGTGGAGTTATTCACATAAATGACATTAAGGCAATGTTCTGCCTCCTGAAGAAACTTTAGCCCAACAATGCTAGAATTCCTTTTGTATTCACCTAACTGTGAACTATGATAATTTCTATCAAGGTACCACCATGGAGGTACCATCCAAGACAAAAGCCCCACAGTGCTAAGCTCTATACACACATGTAATGAAAAGATCTTGCCTGCTCTGGACAGGTTGTGCTGTACAGATATGATGGGAAACGTTAATACTAATTAATCTTGTGGGACAGGCCTTACTGGCATTGTCAGTGTCCCTTCAAATATAATCAAAAAAGAAAGTGAAGATTAGAAGAGGTGAATACAGAGTCCATGACTTATAATGAGTTCTGTGCAACTGACTGATGTAATAATGAACATATTGCTCCTGTATCTTCCAAGCCTTGCAGATAGCAAGATGCACCTACCTCTGGGCTATTAGTACACAACAAGGTGTGTGTGTGTGTGTGTGTGTGTGTGTGTGTGTGTGTGTGTGGAGAAAAACACTGAATTTTTCAGGAGAGGTTTGGACTTTGATAGGTCCATCAATTGGCACTGTGGGATTCTCAGGGAATGCTAGCTGTCAGGCCATCAGTTATACCTCATCCCAAAGGCAGATTACTCCAAGATCACCACTGCTACACCTACCACACCTGTAGCTGTGAGGCACCTGTGTGCTACCAGGGATGAAAAGAATAATCATCAGTGTTTGCAAACAACTTGAGGAATAGCTGGACATGCATCCTTCCCCAGTTCAAGGCTTGCTCTGCACTGACCGGGTCTGATCAGTGCCTCTACTCTCCAGTTGTCTGCTTCGTCCCCTCTCCTTCCTCCCTCCCTCCCCGCCATGCAGGCACACATTTGCATCAGTTGCTCTGACAGCCTGGTCCTTGGAAAGACACCAAGTCAACCATGCCGGATCTCTTTGCCTGCCCTTTGCCTTTCCTCCTCTATTAGAAACCACTTGGACATTGATGCTCTTGGTGGGAGCTGATGAGGGGAAGCAGTGACAAGAAGGAGAACATTTAATTCTGTCTGCATTTCTGAGGACTGACATTGTTTGGGAGGGCAGATCTGACTTTAAAAAAATGATTGGCACAAGTAGGGAAGCCTGCCTGGATTTTCCCTGATTTAGGGATTAGTCAGATCAGGGGGGCAGGTGCATATTCCTTCCTTCCAATAAGGGAAGTTGCGGCTCCCCACAGGTTCTAGCATCAGACACCCCACTCCTGCAGCATAAGGGGAAAACATCCAAAAAAGTTACAGGGAAGGGCTCAAGTACCTGAGAGCTGACATCTGAAGTTGCTGCTGTGGGCTTTGGAGGAAGCTCAGGGCCGTCACAGCCTGCACTGCTGGGAGCTGGGGCCCATTGTGGCCTGCTGCGCACCTTGCTGCTGCTCTCAGGAGAGACGGGTGCCACTGGCAGAGAGCAGAGCTGGCTGGGCTCATCCTTGCACATGCCTTGTTGCCTGGGAGACAGTAAACATGACACTATACAGGCTTGTGTTCCCTGCAGGCCAATGAAGCACAGCTCAAGTATACAGTCCCTGCCCCACGTGCTGGACCTGCCCCCTCTGCCTCAGTCTATCGCAGATAACCCTAGGGCACCATGGCACCAGTTAAGGTTCCCTGAAAAGGAGCTGCTTTCAGTGTCACGGCAGACAGTGGAAAGCCTTGACGTGCTATGAGCCTTCAGGAGTCTAGCGAAGTGGTAGCCAGAGCCATCCAGGAGGACTTTGATGAGCCCCTAATCAGAAAAGCAGCTTGAAATATTTTGGAGAAGGACGCACCCCTCTAAGGTGCTAACAGTCCTTCCTATTTACACAGCATCTTTCTGTTCTATATGCCAGGGGGCTCAGGAAAGCTGGGGGACCCATATCCTGTAGGAACTGGGTTTCTAACCTCATTAGGCTCCTATGAGTAGATCAGCTTTGGGTATCATTCAGGTAATGCCACCTGTAGTTAGAGCAGTTTTTCCCCTGAATGATAAGAAGAGAACTTAAAAGATTTAATCTAGGATGGACTGAACATTTTTTTCTTTTTTTTTAAACACACTGTAAGAATACTGCTTTTTTAATTGCACACGCTCACCTGAAGGATTCATTTTACTTCAAGCAACGTGCTTGTGCTGGTGAATAGCAGGCAGGAAGGGCAACCGATGGGTAAAGAGTAAATGAAACTGTTCTCTCTACTTCCTCTGCCCCTGAAAAGAAATAGGTAGCATCAGTCCTGAATATTAGATGTGAACTGGCTTTTACTAATCTAAGATGTTCTAACAGGTGAGGGATATTTTCCAGGTCCTGACAATGTTCCCCTAAGTCAGGACTGATACTAGAATCCAACTTTTCCTTCTCTCCCATATTCTTTGACATTCAGGGGAAACAAAAAACCATCTTTCTGATTAATATAGATTTTTTGACAGTTTATTAAGAGATTGCCCATTACTTTTGCTTTGACTACTTTCATTTTAATTACCCTAATTAGTCGTCAAGATATAAATTAGCACTGCTGTCACATTGGGCCATAGGTGATGTTGTTAGGAAAGACTGGCGGGCATGAAAAGGAACAAATCTGAAATCAAAATCACATTAGGAGGAGGGAGGTTGATCAAACACACAGGACTCTGGTTCTGAGGTTTAAGCTCACTTGTAGGAACAAATGAAATGATGCTGGTGTGCTCAGTGAATTGTGGGCTCTGTTGCAAAAATCATTAGCCTCGGATTTGGCTTAGCTGCACAAGAGTGCAGTAGTGTGGAAGTAGTGTATCCTATGGGGATAAAATAAAGAGCATGAAGATAAGAACAGAAGACTTGCTTATTATTTATATAGCCATAGCACTTAGGGGCTCTGGAAAGGTTCAACCCATCATGGTACCCATCACGAGTGCTTACATGCACATAGAAAAAGATAATTTTACCATCTAAATAGACACGATCATCAGTGGGTAAGAGGGGAGAGCAGAGACACTGAGTGAAACGAGTTGCCAGCAAAGCAAATTGTCCAGCATCACATGCTGAGCGCATATACATTAGATGCTGACTGCGCAGTAGCCTGTTACTACTGTGCAGTAGTGTCATGTGGCAACAACTGTGATATGACACTACTGTACTGTGCAGTAGTATAATGCTACTATGCAGCAGCATCACTTAAAAGGCGTTCGCCAGCACTACTGCGCAGTAACTCCAGTTACTGCACATTTATTTAGTACTTGCTTGTGTAGATGCACCTGCGGAGTAGTAGAAACAGGAGTAGAACCCAGGAGTCTAAGTTTCTAATCTCATTCCCAAACCAGTGGATCAGACAGCATCTCCTGTATGGTGAAGGCATATTGCTATGTAAAAGCCCAAACCATTACGAATGAACAAGAACGTGCCAACTGTTTTTTCTAAACACTAGTTAATATTTAACTACATTACAATAGAACTTCTTGCTGCCATAGACAGCAGATGAATTTTTAAAGGGAGGTGAGTGGGTAGGGAGTGCAGGTGACTGGATTGCTGGGGAACCCCTGTGAAGCGTGGTGCTCCTGAACATGCAGATAAAATTAATTTCTTCCAAAAATGATATGGCCTGGCTTGGGTGTAAATGAGGCTCTTTGTTTTTAAAGTGAGGATCTGTTTTTAAAGTGATGTCCATGCATGTAGTGCCAGGTAATGTAGGTCTCTGCTTTGAAGGGGATACAAGCCAGAGATTCACTGTAAGGAAAACCCAGAATGGTGTGAGGATATTTAGACAGTATGGACTACAGATGTGGATGGCAGTGGGGATAAGAACCTGTGATGTAGGCTGCTGATCAGACATACAAGGTTGATGTGATTTCAGCAAAAGACTCTCCATCATCTGTGGTAAATTATAGAGTTTTGCCTTCTCTGAAAGGCGACAGAGACACGTTTACCACTATTCCAAAGAGCTGCATCCTTAGAAGGCTTTTGAGGGATAGAGGAGGTTTAGCAAGAATATGGAGAGGCAGTAAATAATTTTAAAAGAGGAGAATGGATGGTAAGAGAGTGAGATGTGCTTTGAGGACATATTCCTTAGCTCAGGGAGAATTTTAAGAGACCCTAAAATTCCTTTAGTGTCAAGGTCCTTGGGGCTCTGAATCAGGCTTCCCATGAGAGTACCCAGCATTTGTAACACAAACAAATCATGGTTACCCTGAATGAAGAATGAACTGAAAGAAGAGCAGAGAGACTGGAGAATGCAAACATATATATGCAAACAGGGAGCCTGAAAACTGCATTTGCCAGTGCATCAAGGTTGCAAACATCACAGAAAGAAAGGGCTTGTTTCTTTGCCATGAGAGGTCCAACCTAAGAGGAATGGGATAGAATCAGAGGGGAAAAAAGAAAGAAAACATCAAAGAGAGATGCACCACATTAGATTTGATTTCCAGCTCTGAGTAGCATGTTATTTGCAGACTGGATGTCAGATCTACCTCTCATCCACATGGCTGTAAAGGTTGGAGTGGATCTGATGAGAAGGAAAGATCTTAGTCTGCTTTGAATAATAGATGCTGTGTGATGGAAGGCCGGGCAGCTCTCCCAATGTCATGAGCTGTGAAGCCACATGATGAAATTTCATCCTGAAGTGTATCCAGTTGCATGCTGCTTGCTTAGCCTAAGAATTAGATTGTGAGCAACTCCAGGTTAGGGCCTTCACTTCCCAGTGAAGTAAATCTGCACCCTTAGCAATTTTTCCTCCTTGTCTAGCTATTTCTGTCTTTTGGAGTTAGAGCAGCAGACTAGGGATCCAAGTGTTTCATCTCTTGTTCTCGATAAGCCTGGCTGAAAAAAAAATTGATTGCAGCATTTTTATATTGGAAAACAGGTTTTGTCAAAATCAGCATTTTCTGCCAAAAAAGCTAAAAACAACTGTCCTGCTTTGGGATGAAACCAACCATTGGAATACCAGAGTTTGCTGTAGGAAATTCTCTTTCCTGATCAGCTCAACCTTCCTCTTGCCACTGCGCTGCTGTGCGATGTTACATCTCTCTGTGCGCCAAACTACGCATCTGAAAAGCAAGGGGGAAATAGATTCCAGGAGCATTTAAAGGTGACTAAATCCATGTTTGTTTTGCGACTTAGCCCCATTTGCTCTGCAGTGTAGTAGAACCGGAGGAGGCAGCTGAGGTTTTTGTCTTTCGCTTTTGAATAAAGGCTTTAGAAGTGCGTTCATTACTGTACAGCTTGTTCCATCCTAATTCCTTTATTTCCACCCCCTGTTTTTGTCCCATCTGCTGACTGCAGCACTCTTTTCTTGCATGTGATTAATAATAACTATGTCCGTAAACTAAAAAAAAAAATAGGACTCCCCTAGTGTATAGGGAGGGTGGAGAAAGAGAGCAGAAACCCCTTCTGTTTTCCTATGCAACTGCCCACTTCCATGCAGCATGAGCCCAGCTATAATTACAAAGCATGTGATCCAAGCAAAGGATTACGGGGCATACGGGGAAAGAGCAGGATTAAGGTGCATTTGAACAAGATTACAAGGAAGTTCTTGTCACTCTGGTAGTGAGTAGTAATCCCTTTGTTTATGTGACGGAGATTTAAACAGCAGCAGTGCAGAGCCCCCAGGGTCACCGCACACACTTGGTTGGGGCGGTGGTTTTCCGTGATGTGGCTGTGGGACTCGGTAATGCAGCAGCATAAATTAATTAGCTCCCTGCTTCATGGCACTAAACAGAAGACTGACAAGCCCCAGACCTGGCAGTGAGGAGGCTCTGCTTGTTCTGGAGAAGGGGCAAGGCTGATGATCTTGAGCGAAGGACCTTGTTTTGGACAAAGCATTAGTTCTTCAGGATTGTTGACTGGGCGCTGAATGCTTGCGGAGGGCCCATGTTTTGGTTCCTTTATGTCAGCAAAAGGCTAGGCAATGGTCACTGTTAACCCCATGGCTTGCTAGAAGCCGGGGAATGGTTCCTACTGCAAAGAACACACTGGGAATGCACATTAACCTTTTCCTCCATCAATAGTTCTCTCCTTGTACTTGTCAGACAAAATGTGTGTGCTTTGGCATTTGGGCCTAAAGCATATTGAGGTGGAGTATGACTCTGTCTCACCTGTTGCCCCTCTCTCTCTTCCTTCCCACCAGCCCTGCCCATTCTGAGATCCACTTGAAGGTGTTAATGGCTTGGCTGGGGCAGTGGTGTCTAGCTGAGATCTCACGTCCTACACAGGTATTTAGGAGCATGCACAAATGGAGCTCCGGGTCTCTGTACCCTGCCTTTTATCCAGGAAGCTTTAGCTGGACTTCATCCTGCTCAGCATCTACCACTGCGGTGGAGGAACCATTGGAAGGAAATGTGGATCTTTCGCTAAAGAGCTGGGCTGCAATTCAGGAGAATATTCCTGGAATACATTAGCTAACCTGTCTGTCGCAACTGCCTCACCTAAGAAAAAAAAGCGGTTA